TCACTGCCTGCTCCCACTCACCTGTCCTGAAGAGCTGCCTCTCCCTCTTAATTAAAGCATTGCTAACCCAAGTGTTCAAATATCATGTACTTTTTAAAAACAAATTTATTTGCCTTCTGGTTTTTGAGCCTTCAGAGGTCATGTTTTAAATGACAACAGATTCTCACATAATCACAAAGCTGGAGCTTTAAGAGAAACACCAATCACAGGAGTTGGCAACACTGGGTTAATGTCTCCCTCCTGCCTTCCTCAATTTACTGTTCCTCACCCTTTTCCTGATATCTCCATTAACAGTTCCCTGTGCCAGCTCCCCTGCAGTCGTTTCACTTCCCCCAGCTCCCTGGGGAGATGGGGCAGAGCAACACATGGATGTTGTTCAGATCAGGGCAACTGGGGAGATTTTTATAAAGGGTTTCAGTCCATTTTGAAGCTGAAATCCCCTCAGGCTCTTCTGCACAGATACCACTTGCTTGGTCCCTCTGCTACCGTGCAGACCCTGCATCTTCCACAGCACTAAATGAACCAAGCCATTTGTGTAACCTCCCTTTAACAGAGCCTGAACAAAACACTGCAAGAGAGCAGAGTAACAGGCTACACTTTGGGTGGTTTCCCTGACGGTGTCTGGGAGGGCAGCCTTTTAATCTGCCTCCTTTTAGATTAATTCTTCTCGATGATCCAGTAACAGCTCTGGGCAGACCTTCTCTTGGAGTTTATCACCCCTTTTCCTATTTTTCCTTTCTAACCCCTTCCCTCTCCGGATGGGGGACTTGGTTAGTGCTCCATTTCCGGGTCTACTTGCTGTCCTATAACTGGGTCAGCCCCTGTGAGCGCTAAGGGGATGTCAGTAAAGCCAGCCGGTCTGGGACTCGCAGACACACAGGGAGCGGAGATGGGGCAGCAGGGGGGTGTTTTTACAGACGCACTTTACCCGACATCTCTCAGTTACCTTTAGTCTCCGGCTCAAGGCTTGGCGTTTGGAGAGTCCTAGGAGGCTAGTTACAGTCTGAGACAGTCCCCAGCTTGGCTAGGCTAGTAACAGAAGCCTTCCTCCCAGGCGCATAGCCGAGGAGAGCCGACGGCCAGGACCAGCTGGGGGCTGTGCGAAGAAAGCAGGCAGGAGCAGTAGCTAGCCCTGATCATGTGACATTGCTAAGGAATCACAGACACAGGTTCTCCCCTGCTGAGCAAGGGCCTGTCATGTGACAGTGTTAACGAATCACAGAGAGGGACATTGCTCCCAGGGATGAAGAAGGGGGTCGGGACTATTATAGGACAAACACGCTCTAACTTCCTTTTGTGACACTCACGTTATTTGTAACTAGCAAGCGAGCCCATCAGAGCAGCTAAGGAGCATACGAATGAGAAGCACTGGGTGGTCATTGAGCAGGGAAAAATATATTAACTGATATCCATAGTTAAACGATGGGATTCTCTTGCAAAGAAATTAAAGCCCTCTTAATAGTCTCTGTTACCAACATACAAAAATGAGACTTTCTATATTGAAGACTGGGGAAAAGCAGGTATTTATATATTCAGTGACGCACTCCACATGAAACGTTATTTCTATGAGAGGGGAAAAATAAAACTACCAAGATCTGCAGGATTCACAACATTTACAAGTCTAGGAATGCAGCACTCAGAAAAGAGCAAAGAAGCATTAGATAGGGATGTTTTAGTAAAGATAATTAAATTATTCCAGAGAAGAGTATAAAAGAAGCTGTCTCTTAAAGCTTTGAATAATTTTGATACTGTAATGTTAGTTGTGACACATTTCTTATTAGGAAGGACAATGGGAGCATCAGACTGAATACATTCTATCCTCCAACCCTGCTCCAGCCCTTACTCCCATTTTACTGACCCCTCCTAGCTCCAGGTACAGTATCTCAACCTCCTTGGTGACCATGGGACCAACACTGCTGAGCCGACAACATTGTTTGGGGAGATACTTCATACCAGGAAGGTCAGACTCATCACATTGTTCCCGCTAACCCTGCTCCAGGCCTTAACCCCATTTTACTGACTGCTGGTAAGATAACATGCTGTAGGCAGATGAGCACACATCCTGCTTCACCACCAGGTGATTTTATTAATGTACCAGCTTGCTCACTGTCTCTCCACATGGTTCAAGCTACATTTACCTCCTCCAGACCATTCCTCTCCTCACTCACCACAAATAACCTGTGCTGGGGATGTCAAGGACTATGATGCTTGACTCAGGGCAACATGCCTCCTCCTATGCCATCAAGGCAAGCAGTTAAAGATAGGCCCTCTGCTAAGCATCTGGAAAGACCCTGCTCACCCCCCAATTTCAACCTCTGACTGCCCCAGGAACTCCTCCCCACATGCACTGATTTCAAGAAAAAGAAAAGCCATTCCTCCTGCGGTGAGTTCCCTCCCCACCCCCCAGCTCTCACATTGCTATTGTCTGCCCCCTCCCAGTCTCTTGATGAGGATGAAGAAAGGGGTACCTCATTTCCCTTCCTTGTTTCATGCTATGAGGCCTTTGCGTACATGATCCTTGTATCATAATACAAATATAGCAAGATTGCTGCCCCCTCCATCCCCTCCCTTTCTCCCATTACTGCTTTCCAGTTTTCCTCCTCCCACGATCTGTACTTCCAATTCATTAAGATTTCAAATTTCCCCTGAAATTCATTCCCATATTGTAATTTCCTGCCCACATTTCCATTCTCTCTAGGCTCCTTTGGATTATTGCTCTGTTATCAACAGTCCTTCCAACCCCACTTATCTAATCCAGGAATGAAATCTCACTTTCACTCCAAGAGATCCTGGAGAAATTCCCTGGTCAGAATGGTTTTGTTTCTCTCCTATTTAGATGACATATATGAGTCTATTTTAAAATACCAGACTAAGATGATTTAACTAATCATTTTAGATTGTAAACAAGAATCAGATGTTTTGTCCAGTGATGTCAGTTGTTTGCTGACCTGTGCAAAGACAAGTAGACTGATGTGCAATCAGAGACCAGCTGTTGAAATTCAGTGGTCCCATCTACATAGCCAGAACCTCCAAGGTGCAACTTTGACACAGAAGATGGGCCAGTGGAGTATCAGGGAAACACACCAGGGAATTGAGTATTCCAAAAAGTACCAGAAAATTGGGACAGGAGGTGGACAGCTGATGAATACCAGAAGCCTGGGAGGGAGTCTGGCTAGAACCTCTGAAAGGAGCTCTGGCTGTTCTGTTTAAATAAAAACAGTTAATTAAATTCCTAAAGAGCAATGGAATCAACAGAGGGGAGACAGGTGCAGATGCTGCTGCCAGAGGAGACAAGTTGTGCCCCAGCTGGAAGAGTTCATATGTCCAGGCTCTCAGGAAGTAGCCATTCCAGCTCTAATGCCCTATCTACATTAAGGAAAGTCATACACGTATCCCTACATCAGTGGTACCAAATTGAGCTACCCAATCAAAGCCTCACTTTGTGCCATGCAGCATGTCTGCAGGAGGGATTGGCATTGGTGTACATTCATTATACTGGTGCAAATTTCCTTCAAGTAACCAGGGTCTGAGCAAACTGTTTAGTGCACACATGCCCCTGATTCCTGATGGTGGAGAGAGAAATGAGTAAGGGGGAAATTTGTCACCTTGGGAATCTTTGTCGCAAACATCTCAGGTACTGAAAACATTTCCAGGAAACTGGAGGACACAAAGGAGTTTTTAAAACAAGTTTTTATTAGGAATTTTAATAAAGGTTAAAGACTGTTTTATGAAGCTAGAATTAAACTCTGATGCTCGCTGAAGCCCACATTTTCAGAAAGTTCACCTCAGCCTAGAGAAAAAGGAAAAGAAGTCTAGTCCCACTCTCAAAGCTCCAAGAAAAATCTTAGTAAGAAGGAAGCTGAGACCCACCTTACTGTAGGCCTGGCTTAACATGAGTAATTGGACATTAGTGAGGTCTTATTTTTGGGGAGACAGGATTAGGGAGGTAATGAATTAGAAGGCTGGAAACAGAATGTCTGTACTAGCAAAGATAAGGGGGAATACACATGGGAACCATTCAATAATGTTGCAATTGCTTTAAAAATATAAAATTAAGTCAATATATTCTAATAATAACACTTGTAGTATTTAAAAAAATACATGCTATACAAAGTAAAAGCAGCCTTAAGTAATATAAAGGGAAAAAAACAAAAACAAAACAAAAAAACCCACCATTTGTCCTCTTTTATCACCACAAAAAAATTAAAAATGTAGTACAAAAAAGTAATACCAGTTAGTGCAAAATTAAAAAAAATTAACAAGAGTCCAATACCATAAAATTAAATGTAAAAGCACTGCAACCCATAACCCATACAGTATAAAAAAAAAATTGTTTTCCTTCTTTCATGCGGCTCCCGGAAGCAGCGGCATTTCCCCCCTCCAGCTTCTACCCATAGGAGCAGCCAGGGGGCTCCGCTCCGCACACTGCCACTGGCCCCAGCACCGCCCCCAAAGCTCCCATTGGCTGGGAACCACGGCCAATGGGAGCTGCAGGGGCAGCGCCTACAGACAGGGCAGTGCGCGGCAGAGCAGCCTGGCCACGCTTCTGCGTAGGAGCCAGAGGGGGGACATGCCGCTGCTTCAGGGAGCCACTTGAGGTAAGCGCTGCCAAGAGCCTGCACCCCTGAGCCACCCCCCAGCTCTGACCCCCCTCCCATCCTCCAACCCCCTCGATCCTAGCCTGGAGAACCCTCCTGCACCCCACACCCCTCATCCCCAGCCCCACCCCAGAGCCTGCACCCCCAGCCAGAGCCCTTGCCCCGCCCCAGGTGCACCAACCTCCTGCCTCAGCCCTGATCCCCCTCCCGCCCTCTGAACTCCTCAGCCCTAGCCCAGAGCACTCTCCTACACCCCAAACCCCTCATCCTCAGCCCTCACTCCCCTGCACACCCACTCCACCCCAGCCCGGAGCCCTCTCCCGCATCCTGAACTCTTCATTTCTGGCCCCACCCTGGAGCCCGCACCCCCAGCCAGAGCCCTCACCCCTTCCCACACCCCAACCCAAATTTTGCGAGCATTCATGGCCCGCCATACAATTTCTATACTCAGATATGGCCCTCAGACCAAAAAGTTTCCCCATCCCTGCTGTACAGTTCCTACAAAGTAACCAAGCCAATCTCAAAACATGTAATGCAACATATAGTAAATGTAATGTAATGTGTAATTGTATATAAAAGAGGTTTGATGTGTAACTTTAAATGTGTGGTACATCCTATAGTCACTCCATGTGCTTGAGTCTAATGAACTCAGCATAGGTTTGCTGTACGGCAAATATGAAAACCTAAGTAACAAGACTGAGGTCAAACTAAATTTAAAAAACAAGTGAAAAAGGTCTCAACCCGCCCTCTCCCCCCAGCACCTATAAACAAAGAGAAGAGAATCCTAGAAAAAGAATATAGTTTCTTAGACTATATAAATTCCTCTGGGCAGGAACAATTCTATTCCTTTTTGTGCAGAATTTAATATGGCCCCAATTCTTATGACTCTGAGTCTATATTAAATAGTATGTGAGGTGAGTGATTCTTATCCCAGTTTTACAAATGGGGAAACAAAGGCATGGAGAAGTGGAGTGAGTTACCTAAGGTCGTAGAACAAGTAAGTGGCAGAGCTGGGAAAGAATCTTTGCACCCCACTCTGCCCTCCAGAAGACCCTCCCTACTGGAGCCAGGAGTAGGTTTCATTCCATCCCACAGCAATAAGCCAAGCAGTCCCTATAAAGTCCCCACTTGACTGTGAAATTCCTACTATAACTTGTCTGAAGCCCACCCTGTGCACAGAGAAATGGGTAATTTTACCTTTCCTCCTAAATGTATTTATTAATACCCTGTCAAAGTGACTTCCGCCTAATTACACTACCAGGTCCCCCACCCTCCCCAAATGATCCATCCCCTCCAGCATCTCCTGGTTCCTCCTCTGGCTCCCACCACATATTCCTCTACACGATTCATCTCACTGCACCAATCTTTCCTCTTTGTCTAACTACAATCCATCCTCAACAATCCACTTCTCATTCTCTATGAACAGGTCAGAGCCTTACAGGCCCAAAGAAACACACTTGGCTTCTATCCGTTGGGAGGGATATCTGACACAAAGCCTTCCCCATTCTCATCCCAGTCTCAGGGATTTCCTCCCATGTGGATTCTCTGATGCTGAACAAGGTGCGAGCTCTGACTGAAGCTTTTCCCACACCTTGCGCATTCATAGGGTCTCTCCCCTGTGTGGATTCTGCTATGTTTGATAAGTGCTGAGCTCCAACTAAAGCTCTTTCCACACTCAGCACATTCATACGGTCTCTCCCCTGTATGGATCCTCTGATGTTTCATAAGGTCTGAGCTCTGACTGAAGCTTTTCCCACAATCGGCACACTCATAGGGTCGCTCTCCCGTGTGGATTCTCTGATGTTGAATAAGATGAGAACTCACACAGAAGCTCTTCCCACAGTCAGTGCATTCGTAGGGCCTCTCTCCTGTGTGAATTCGCTGATGTTTCATAAGGTCTGAGCTCTGACTGAAGCTTTTCCCACACACAGTGCATTCATAAGGTTTCTCTCCAGTGTGGGTTCGCTGATGACGAGTAAGGGCTGAGCTCACACTGAAGCTCTTCCCACAGTCACCACATTCATAGGGTTTCTCACCTGTGTGGATTCTCTGATGCTGGATTAGCTGTGAGTTCCCACTAAAGCTCTTCCCGCACTCGGCACATTTATAGGGTTTTTCTCCAGTGTGGATTATCTGATGCCGAATAAGGTTTGAGCTCACAGTAAAACTTTTCCCACACTCGGTACATTCATAAGGTCTCTCCCCCGTGTGCTTTGTCTGATGCTGAATAAGGTGCGAGCGCTGCCGGAAGCTTTCCCCACATTCGGCACATCCAAAGGGTTTCTCTCTGGTGTGGATTCTCTGATGCTGTCTGAGGTTTGAGCTCACCCTGAAGCTTTTCCCACAGTCATCACATATTGCTGATCTCCCCATAGTGCGGTTTCCCAGCTGGTCAATGTCTGGCAGTTTCCTGAAACCTCTTTCACAAACAGTTGATTTACCCTGTCTCTTCTCTGGAGCAGTTGTCTGATGCCTTTCTGATCTGTGCTGACCCTCACAGGCTTTGCTCTGCTCAGGACTCTGGAAAATATTCCTTTGGGATATTCCTGATAATGTGCCACATGGTTCCATTAACTCAGGACCTTCCTGGTGGGCATACTCCTCATTCTCACTTATAATCCCATCACCTGGTGCATTGAAATGAGAATCCAGAGACGAGTCATTGGAGAGAAAAGATGCCTTAGGAAGGGGATCTGAAAGGGATACAACTTGAACATCTTATTTCCATATGAACATATGATACCTACCATCTTACAGGTGACCCCTAATTGCTGCTGCTGCTCTCAGACTCACCGAAAATAGCCTTCTAAACAAACAATAGAGCAAAAACATGCCAACAACAAATTTTAGAAGACATTTAAAAAAAATCAGAGCAGACTATTTAAAGGGAGCCCTGACAGAAATTTATTTATTTATATTAGTCAATAAAAATAATCAAGTTAATTCTGTCCCTTGAAATCCAGTGAAAGATATCACCTTACCCATCGTGTCTCTCTAATGGTTCCTAACATTCTGTTAGCTTTTTTGGCTTCTGCTACACATTGAGCGGATGTTTTTGGCCATCAACAAGGTTAGACTTGATATTAGACAAATGTATCTAACCCTCAGAGGAACGAAGTTCTGGAACAGTCTTCCAAGGGGAGTAGTGGGGACCAAAAAAATCCCTAATTTGTTTCAAGACTGAGCTTGATAAATATATGCAGGGGATGGTATGAAGAGGTTGCCTACAATGGCATATGGCCAATCTGCAACTGCAATTAGTAAATATTTCAAACCAGTGAAGATGGGACACTAGATGGGAAGGGTTCTGAGTTACTACAGTGAATTATTTACCAAATATCTGGCTGATGGGTCTTGCCCACATACTCAGAGTTTAACTAATCACCATATTTGGGGTTGAAAAGGAATTTCCCCCCCCCCAGGTCAGATTGGCAGAGACCTGGGGATTTTTTGCATTTGCCTGCAGTGTGTGGCCTGGGTCACTTGTTGGTTTGAACTAAAGTAAATGGCAGATTCTCTGTAACTTGAGGATTTCAGTAACTCAGCCAGAGGTTATGAGCTATTACAAGAGTGGGGCATGAGGTTCTGCAGCCTGTGATATGCAGGAGGTCAGACTAGATGATCACGATGGCCCTTCTGGTCTTAAAAAGTCTGAGTCTAAGTCCTGATGCAGAAAGCTATCCAGTTCAAAATCCTCTGTGCAGAAGACGTTGATCTCCCATCCTTTCTGCACATCAGTTTCAGCGAGGATCTGATTTGTTTGCTACTGTCAATATAGAAAGAGAGAACTCATAGCACATCTAATGTGTGGAGTCTCTCTTCGTCTTTATGGCTATGAGGCTTTGGAAAGAATATCAGAAGATGAATCAGTTGATTCAGGTGAAAGTCTGATACCACTTTATTTAGGAACGTAGGGTAAAGTCTTAAAGAAACTTTATCTTTATAACAGACCACGTATGGAGGCCCCACCATCAGACACTGTAGCTCTTCCACTCTGACATGATCACTACCAAGAAGGCTGTCTTTTTAGACATAAGAGAAAAAGAGCAGGAGGCCAGTGGCAAAAATACCATAACGAGGGCCCAGGGAGGGATGGGTTCATGAATGGGAGGATAAATCCTCATTAGTTTCTTCAGAAATCTCCCAACCATGGAATGTGAGAAAACCAAAATGTTCTTAAATGGGAGAGTGGATTGCTGAGTTGTATGCTAAATGAACTTTTACTGAACTCATCAAGAGGTCCAACTCCTTCAATTGCAGTGGATATTCCTGCATTTTAGATGGCGAGAGAGAGTATCTAATGGCCAGATGAAAAATCTCTCCCGCTTTGCAAGATAGGTTTCCAACGGGACAACTATTCTGCTACTGATAAGAATGTTTTGAACTTCTTGAGAGCAGGCTCTTTCCCCTGGGTTCAGCCACTCAACTCCCTTGCTGTGAGGTGGAGACTGTGAGGGTTGGGGTGGAGAACTTTGGTCATGGTTCAGTGTTAGTGGGGCCTGAACAATGGTAGTGCCATTGGAGGCCGTATCAAGAGACTCTGGAGGTCTGACAGCCAGTGCTGTCTCAAGCATTCTGGGACTCTAGGACTCAGCCTGGCACATGCCTTCCTCAGCTTCTTGAAGAAACTGGGTAGCAGCAGGACTGGAGGGAATGCATAGAGAGGCTCAATCCCCAAGGAAGCAGAAACACATCCGACTGAGCCATGGCTCAGACTTGTCCTGGCACAAAAATAGTGACATTTTCTGTTTTGTTTTGCTGTGAACAGATTGGAAGGGAGGCTGACAGGAGATGCAGAAATCTTACTAGCAGGGACTAGTACAAGCCAAGGGGCCGGAAGGGACTGTGACTATAACTGTGACTATGCCATAGCCTGCTCCCCCAAGTCCCCAGCACTCCTTGGGAATCCCAATGCTCTCGTTGTCCCCGTTATAGTCAAGGGGGTGGAGTTTCCAGGGACTGGCTGACTCTAGATGTTCATATGTGAGCAGCTACTGGGCCCAAATTTCCCGCTGATTGAGGAAATGTTTTTTATAGGGTGTACCCATAGGGATTTCCCACCCTCTCCCATTACCAGGATTAAGCTGTCTGTAAATAGGAGGTCTACAAAGTTGATGGTGACTGTGACAAAAGAATTGTCATACCCAATGGTGCTGGGCTGCTACTGGGGCCTGGTAACTGGCCTGCTACAAGAGGCAAACCAGTCATGCCAAGATGCTAACTTGCCTGGGGGAGAGGGACAGGGTGGATGTACTGCTGGGAAAGATCTTCCCCTGAACTCTGCGGCCGTACTACGCTGACCCAGAAAACAAGTGAAGAGCATCACCTTGCCTGGAAACAAGCTCTACTGACACGTTAGGGCCCAGGGAGATGGGCCAAAAAAAATCTGCTGCCAACTAATATGACTCTGACAAGAAGGGTTTCTACAGATATATTAGCAACAAGAAGGTGGTCAGGGAAAGTGTGGGACCCTTACTGAATGGGAGAGGCAACATAGTGACAGATGATGTGGAAAAAGCTGAAATACTCAATGCTTTTTTTTTGCTTCGGTCTTCACAGACAAGGTCAGCTCCCAGATTGCTGCACTGGGCAACACAGTATGGGGAGGAGGTGAGCAGCCCTCAGTGGTGAAAGAACAGGTTAAGGACTATTTAGAAAAGCAGGAGTATACACAAGTCCATGGGTCCAGATCTAATGCATCCAACAGTGCTGAGGGAGTTGGCTGATGTGATTGCAGAGCCATTGGCCATTATATTTGAAAATTTGTGGCGATCAGGAGAGATCCCGGACGACTGGAAAAAGGCAAATATAGTGCCCATATTTAAAAAAGGGAAGAAAGAGAACCCTAGGAACTACAGACCGGTCAGCTTCACTTCAGTCCCTGGCAAAATCATGGAGCAGGTCCTCAAGGAATCCATTTTGAAGCACTTGGAGGAGAGGAAGGTGATCAGGAACAGTCAGCATGGATTCACCAAGGGCAAGTCATGCCTGACCAACCTGATTGCCTTCTATGATGAGATAACTGGCTCTCTAGATATGGGGAAAGCGGTGGATGTGATATATCTTGACTTTAGCAAAGCTTTTGATACGGTCTCCCACAATATTCTTGCCAGCAAGTTAAAAAAGTATGGGCTGGATGAACGGACTATAAGGTGGATAGAAAGCTGGCTAGATTGTCAGGCTCAACGGGTAGTGATCAACGGCTCGATGTCTAGTTGGCAGCTGGTATCAAACGGAGTGTCCTAGGAGTCGGTCCTGGGACCAGTTTTGTTCAACATCTTTATTAATGAATTGCACCCTCAGCAAGTTTGCAGATGACCGTGACAAAAGAACTGTCATACCCAATGGAAGCGGCGAACAGTGGAGAGGCTAACAGAGGGAGTTTGTCTGAGATCTGTCCGAGAGGGGGTACGCTAAGTGCAGCATTGGGGGACTGTGTTGGTGAGTATCTGAGTGTCTGTTGCGGGGACAGTTTGTCAGTTTGACTGCGTGCTTGACTGTTTGAAAAGTGTGAATTGGGAGTGCTTTGTTCCAGGTGGGCCTTGAGTGGGCCTGACTGTTCTAAAAAGGCAGTCAGCTGCGAACTAGCGGAGAGGCTAACGGAGGGAGTTTGACTGGGAGTTCGCTTGGGGAGAGCCCACTGAGGCTTTCAACTTGCAGGCTCCTCTGAGAAGTTGCTGCAACAGCTGAGGAAGCTCTTAGAAGGAAGGTAATATGGATGGTGAGCAATCAGCTGCTGTGACCTGCCCAGGATGTGCCATGTTTGTCTTCCTTCCACAGGACAGAAGCGACTTTGTACAAATTGCAAGCTGGTCTCCATATTGGAAGAAAAGGTTCAAGATTTGGAGGAACAAATATCAACCCTGCGTTGCATAAGAAAAAATGAAGATTTCCTGGACAGATGTCAGGATATGCTTCTAGGGGCACAACATTCTGAAGAATCAGAGCAATCTGCGCAGCGGGGACAGAAGGACGGTGAAGAACTTTGACAGCATGTGACCTCCAGAAGAAGAAAGAGGAGCATCCATGTACCAGCAATGCAGATACAGGTAAGCAACTGTTTTCATGTTCTCACCACAGGTACTAATGCGGAGATTGGAGTAGATGATACACCTGAGGGAAGGGAGCAGAAGTAGACTCCACCAATTGGAAGGCATGAGATGCACTGTCCTAGGGATGGGGGTTCCACGACCACCGCTCCCAAGAGGAGGAGGAGGGTGGATGGTGGTCGGGGACTCCCTTCTCAGGGGGACTGAGTCATCTATCTGCCGACCCGACCGGGAGAACCGAGAAATGTGCTGCTTGCCAGGAGCTAGGATTCACAATGTGACGGAGAGACTGCCAAGACTCATCAAGACCTCGAATCGCGACCCCTTCCTGCTTCTCCACGTGGCACCAATGAGACTGCCAATAATGACCTTGAGCAGATCATTGCAGACTACATGGTTCTGGGAAGGAGGATAAAGGAGTTGAGGCGCAAGTGGTGTTCTCGTCCATCCTCCTTGTGGAAGGAAAAGGCCCGGGTAGAGACTGTCGAATCGTGGAAGTCAATGAATGGCTACGCAGGTGGTGTCGGAGAGAAGGCTTTGGATTCTTTGATCATGGGATGGTGTTCAAAGAAGGAATGCTAGGCAGCGACGGGCTCCACTTAACAAAGAGAGGGAAGAGCATCTTCGCAAGCAGGCTGGCTAAC